TGTGTGTCCACTTGAGGGTACTTCGAAAATTTTCTGCTCTCGAACGATGTGAGAGTCAACTATGAGAAAGCATACTCAGGAATGTATCCATTTGACTTTCATGTATCTATTCAACTCTCTGACAAATTTTATTCGATTTGATTAGTTGTAAGAATGCTTGTAAACAGAATGAGTCGAGCAGAAGTTTGTTCGTATCGTTGTAATGTATTTAATAAGGAAAAAGAAACGTTTAAATAAAAAAAAATGTTAAATTAAACGATGGATAAAATGTAACAAGATGGATCTATTTTATATATTTATACGAATTAAATACAGAATTAAGTACAGAAGTTTCATAATAATTTAAAAAAAAATCATATGATATAAGTTGAACATTTAATGAGTTTTGAACTACAAATTGCAAAACAAAATACGAAATTTTGAGAAGCAATAATAATAAGCGAATAATGATAATATTATGATTTTGTAGCATCATTATCTTTTGGCATTAATATTTTATATTTAAATATTTATTAACAAATGTTTATCATCCGCTTATGATAGTATAATACATCTAAATTATGTCTGAAATTATTATTTATTAATATATAATATATATATTAATATTAGTATTATTAATATAATAATAATAATTCATATAGTAGTATACTCTAATAATATTTGTTTCATATACCAATATGTATAACAGATGGAATTATATCAGAAGTAGCTCTCGCTATTTATGAAAATTTCTAGAATAAATATTTACGGATGAAAGTATGCATCCTAAATATAGCATTAAAAATGAAATCATTTATATGTAAATAATAAAATTTGAAAAAAAAACAAAATTTATGATAAAACAATTATTAATTAAAATTATAAATAATTACAAGTAGAAGTAGTAGTAGAATGTGCTGTAAAATTTATCAAGAAGAATATAAGAGGCATTTCATAAAAGATATTCATAATGATACTCATGAGATATTTCTATTTAATGAAATATTATCATTTTTTTTCTGTAATTTCTGTAAATTGAAAATAATAAAAATTTTAGCAATTATTGTAATATGTATATATATATTGTATACATACATTAATTATATAATCATTTATCATCTGCAAGCAATTGTTTTTCTGATTTTATTTTTGAATCTTCTTTTATTATTTTTAAATTTTAAACTTAGCTTTAAAGCGATACAATGTATTCATTGAAATTGTTATTGACTATTCGTCTTTTGATTTGATTCATAACTTTTATTGCAATATTTAAAATCTTATTATTGTCAATAATCTCTCTTTTGTTTTATTTCTTCATTGAATTTTTTTAATTTCATTAATAATAATATTATTTTCTAAATTGATTATACATATATCATTCTTTCAATTCTTGTTCCTTCACATTTATAATTTCATATTTACATTGTTTTCGATACTATTATAGAGTATTTTAAAATTCATTAAATCATGTTTATATTATATATGTTATTAATAATAATTGCTAAGATTTTTATTATTTTCAATTTATATACAGAAAAAAAATGATTCAATGCAGAAAATTTTTCTGCATTTTTTATCATTTTCTATAATTTTCATGTTTTATAATATTCCACAAACATTTCTTTTCTTTTATATTATAATTAATTTCTCTATTTTTTTTACTTTTCCATTTTTTAAATTTATAAATATATATTATATATATACTATAGTATATATAAATATATATACTATAATAAATTGACTAAGAAATTTGACTCGTCTGTATTTAAAATTCTCTGTATGAACTCTCTATATGAATTAAATTATTACATTATGTAGATTATTCTTGTACTATAATCTCACTACCTGCAATATCATCTACACTAACATGCGACATAACATTTTGATTTGAATAATTTATACTATATGTATTTATACATATACAATATATTTAAGATTATTGGAATATATATTATAAATATAAACAATATTTATATGCATTATTTATATGCATTTTTCAGAGAATTTTTAGAGAATTTTTGAATAAATAATAAATATTTAATAAATATAATAAGTATAATAAAATAATATATATTGAATAGTAAATAAACCATTATCTACGAACCAAAACATACCAACATATACATACCATTCTTTTCAAAAGTTGGGGAAAAAATAAAAAATCTTTCATTTTTGTATAAATAAATTTAAATAGATTTCCTTTTAAAAGACATTTTTTTTTTTGAAAAACATAATAGATGCAAATTGTAAACAATTTCTCACATTTTTAATAATGCTTAACTATTGTATAAACAATACTTTACTATTCTACGAATAATTGTTTGCTGATAATATAATTACATTCACGAAATTAATATCAAATAAAAATAGAACAATTGTATTTCCTTTATTCAAATTTAAAGTAAAATAATATTATTTCATAAATAATATTATAAAATATTTTCTTTCCTTATGAATTTTTATTTCTTATTATTTTAAAAAATGTGCAAATCAAATTTAAAAGTTAAGATAAGATACAAAATTTAATTAAAAAATTATAAAAAATAATCATATATATGTAATTATAAACTTTTGAAATCTAGATCCAATTTTAGTTTCGGATATTCGAAAATTATATTTCCGGAATTCGATTCATACCGATTACAACTTCAAATATTCAAAATCATCCTTGAACATTACAAACTTTAAACAGATTAATTTAACCAATAATAGAAAGTGAAGTTGATTGACGTTAAAAGATGATATGGATTGAAAAATTATTGTACATTCTTCACAATAGGGATAATTATTTTCCTTATTTCACTTTTTGCTTTGTTAAAATCTAATTTTAATAATTTTAATTCCAATGCTATTATTCAAATTTTTCATATTCATCAAATTCTTTGTCGAATTGTTTCAACGCTGCTGTATAATTTTATTCGTAAATATTCATGTCTTCGTTTTGTTTTGTTGATTGATGTATTGTTTTTCTAATTTTCGTTTTAAAAAATAATGTTTTCATGTAGATAATTTATATTTAAACATAATTATCAATTTGAAAAAATTAATAATTTATTTGAATATTTAGATAGTTGGTCATCCCTAATTTAAAAGTTATAATATTATATTGAAAAAATTTTTTTAATTTTCAACTGAAATAATTCGATATATGAAGTAAAAAAAATTTTTTATATGAATATATTCTTATTCATAAGTATAAAAAAATTTGAAATAAAATGTTATTATTAATTATTATATTAGTAATCAACGATTATTATTTTTTACATAAGTGAAAGAAACATTTAAATCATACAACATTAAAATCATAAGACACAAAATGAAAACTCTTAAATAAAATTTTACAAAAAGATTTTCACTGCTTTGAACAATGAAAATGCCACTGATGCAAGTATATTTCATTTGAAAAAGGACTACTTTGAAAAGGATACCATTTGAAAGAAAATTCAAACATTGAATTTTGCTGATGTAACTCTATGAACTTTTTGAACAATTATTTTTTTTCTACTTAATTAAATAACTAAATATTTTTCGATTATTATTTTGATTATTTGACAATGCTGATAATGTTGATTTTTTTTTTATATTTATGAATCAGATGATATTTAAAAATATATTGTAAAAAATATATATATTACAATAAGTTAATATAATAAGAAAAATATTCAAATTATATATGCCTACAACTAATTGTTACCGTGACTCGATGTATAATGTTACCACAACAATTTGCCTCCATTGCAAATATATAAATTCTTTCTGTCGTTTTAATAATTAGAAATTCTAAACTTTGCTTTTTCGCTTTATTTTTTTACACTTTATATCTTTTATTTTATTTTATTAATGATTTACGTAATTATTAAATTATTATTAAGTTATTATTATTAGATTTTTAGTAGATTATTAAGAAATTATTGAATTATTATTTTATTATTATATAATAAATATAAAGTTAATCGATAGATTGTTATTTTTATATTAAAGATAATATTCATGATTATTATACTTGATCTTTTAAAAATAATACGTTTTTGATGATCTAAAACTTAAATGAATATTATTAATAAAATTGTGTTTTATTTCATTAAAAAATAAAATATTTTATTATTAAATATTAAAAGATTATTTTTATTTCTCAGTAATAACTTATCATATAATCTGATAACAAATTAATCTATAAAGTTGATTTGATATAAAAAATTTATTGCAGTATATTAAATATAAAGCATAAAATCTTAAATATAATAAATTTAACATTAAATTATTCAATAGTGAAAAGAACAATTGCATTTTTCAGTCATTTTTTATGTTTTCTTAAAATTGGAATTTTTTAGCTGTAATCTTTCCTTTAATTATTCATTTAGTTGGTTATTACATTAAGAATATTACACTAAGAATAGGAACTTTTACTTTTAATGAATTTATTTTTGTAAAAGATAAAATTCAATTAAAAAAAATCGACATTAAATTTCAGATCTAAATTATTTACATAATATCAATTGATAACAATTTAAAGAACATAGCCGATATTAAAATATTAAAGAATAATATCTTTATTTATTAAAAAAAAATTATTTAGTTGAGATGACCAATAAATTTGCGTACCATTTAATCCACTTTTGTTTAGAATTTTTTTCATTCATTTGAATGACATAAAAACATATTGTAATATAAAATAATCTATTCTTACAATTATAGGAAACTATAATATAATACTATAATAGAATATAAGGAAATATTATTTTCTATGACTGATGTGGAATATAAATTTATTTATATTAATAATATCTGGCAAAATTTTCTAGAATGATTCATTTATGCTTATCTTAAAAATATATTTTTACCCTTTTTTAATATGTCTTCAACTCTAAATTAAAAATGCCTACTTTTTATTATTTTATCATTAAGGGCGCAATGAAATCGTATACTGAACAATATTCTCAAACAATTCAATGTCTATTTGTGAGAAATACTCTCGAAGCCAATGATTTTTTTCTCAAGTGGACACCTAGCTTTATGAGCATAACTTCACTTCGTTCCGGCCAAGTACATTTATGTCTAAGTACAGTATTGTAGTATATGCTATATGAGCATTTCTAAATTTACAACCTTTTCTGTACATCGCGTTCCTATTATTGTCGAAGCAATTTAAGTGTCTACAAAAATTATATTTAGTATATATTATTAATAATAATTATATTAAAAAAAGTTATGAATATGAATATTTCATTAACCTATTATATAAAAATGTTATTATTCATCAATTAGAGAAAAGGATTTATACAAAAGCGTAAATTATACTTATTTCCATAATTAATTCAAAACATACTATCATTATTTAGTAATTTTCATATTGAAGTATTTTTATTTTGCATTTATTTTTCTTTTCAAAAAATTTGAAAAATTTAATCAATGAAAATATGGAAAATATTTTTTCGTTATTGAATCTAGAATAGATTTGAAGATTGAATTCTTTATAATATTTCTTAAAAATTGCTGTACAATTTTTTCTGCTAATTATAAAATTTTTAATATTTGAATTAAATGACAAAAATTCAAAAATCTAAATTAAATTTTCGTCATTTTCGATTATATTTAAAATTCAATAAAATGGTGAAAATAAATTGGTGAAAAAAAATTGTACAACAAATTTCAAAAGATTATTGTAAAGAAAAGACTTTAATGTTCAAATCTATTGTAAATTTAGTGACAAAAATTTTTTTATAGCTAATTGAATTTTTCAAATTTTTGAATATCTTTACTTTTCTATTTGTTTATTTCTTATATTTTATATAATGAAAACATAAAACTGTGAAAATAAAGATTTACACTTTAAAAGTTAAATCAGATTGTTATATGATTTTTTTTTTTACAAAATTGCAACAATTTAAAATATCAATTTTCCTTCGTATATTTATCAATAAAAATTAAAAATCTAATCATTCGCAAATTTCTTTATATTTTCTATTTTTACCTAATCTTTGTGTATAGTATATTGAAATATAATGAATATAAGTATATTGAAAAAAAATGTATTACTTATTGATGTTTGAATCATTATGTTGTTTTAATTCCAATCATTTTCATTTCATAGCATGAAATATAAATAAATTCACAAACGATTAATTTATTTCTTAACTTTTGCTAGTAAATATAGATATACTTTATTACATTTCTGTTTCTTTTTACAACAACGTATCTAATAAATAAATAATCGCCTGTTAATATGAATATATATTCACATGCACATATATGACAAAGTTCATGCGAAATTCCATCTACGTTACACATTAGGAATTTACAAGAGAATATTCTTTTTACCAAAGAAGAGAGAAGAGAAACCAAAGAAATATATTGAAAAATAAGAAATTTCAATTTTATACGTGAAATAAAGGAAGTTTTTTTTTTTTTTGCAAAGTTTCTCGTTCATCTGGAAAATACAAAAGAATCTACCTGAATATTGAATATAGAAAAGAAAAAAATAAAACAGCAGAAGTTTGGATCCATTCCATGTTTCGATCCTTGGCGCAAGGCGCTCGAATCTCGAAAGTAGTCACAGTCGACCAATTCTGTAACATATCATGGAAATCTCGCGAGTTTAATGTAAATGTATACATATGTCAATATTTGCTAAAACGAAGGGATTCTTTATAGATTTTTTTTTTTTCAACTTATCATAAGCATTTTTTGAAAATACGCGAATTACGAATTGTTCTCTGAATATTTTACACAAATCGATACTAGATTCGAGAGTAAGGATAAAAATATAACCAACAAGTCACGATCGCATTGTAGCTGATTAATTAACCTAATCAACCTTCTCAGTTGCCGTACAAATTGCGCTACCGCATTTATTTATTTTAAATGGTTTGTTTTCTTAATCACTCGACTAGTCTGCATCACGACCGCAACCTATTATGTGTTTGAATTTTAAGGGCCTTCTCACATTATCCGGTTTTCGCCAGTCCGATTAAAAATGAATGTCAATCGATAATCGATCGATGTAATGCTTGTTTTCTACGCTACT